TGGATTTCTATCTGTAGTTTTGTATAATTTCTAATTTTTCATTTATCTTGTCATTTTGTTCTTGTATTGTCTTTTGAAATTGTTCTAGGGTTTTGTCTGTGTTTTCCTTGATCTGTTTCTCAATCCTTTGAAGATACCTAAATATAATTCTTTTGAATTCCTTATCAGGGAGTTCCAATGTTGCCTCTTCCTCAGGGATGTGTTTGGGTCTGTATCCTGGTCCCTTGTTTCTCCTGCTTTATCTTGCTTCTTTGTGTGGACTGTGATGCTCTGTTGTCTCCGAGGTATTGTGACGTTTTTGTTTATATTTAATTGGTGATTGTATGTTGGAGTGACTTGCCCACGATTTTCGTTTTGTTTTGTTATGTTATCTACGCAAGCAGGGTACTGTGCTGTACTCCTCTATGCACTACTTGACAGCACTGATACACACGCCACCTGTCTCCTTTCCTGTTGTCAGCCTCTTGTATGTCCTTGCCAACCCTGGCAAACAGAGCCTATTCTTAGGTCCCTGGAGTCCAAATGAGAATGCTATCACTTTAAAATCCAGAACAGTTGCTACTTATAAAGATTCAAAATGACTGCACCCTCGGTCTCTTTAATTATCCAAAATGGCTGCTGTGTATAATTATCCAAAAATGGCTGCACCCTCCAGACAGCAGAAAGTCAACAGCTCAGGTGGTCTCCCTCCTTGCTGTTTCCCTTCCTAGTCATAGAACACCAGCGCAGTTGCCCCTGTAGCCCTTGGTAACCAGAGCTGATCTTTGGGTCAATTCACAGGTCCCAGAACCACCTGGAAATATTCAGTCTGTTCGTCCCGTCAGAGTAGCTGACAGTCCGCAGCTCCGACTGCCTCTGTACTGACTGTTTTTGTTCAGGTTTTTCCACTGTTTGGTGCCTAATCCACTTCTGTGTAGTTCCTTTCAAAGCTCACGGCTCCAGGATTGTCTTCTGTATCTTTGTTAATTGGTTTTTCTTTTCTTTGTTGAAGAGAGTCTGTGTTGCTTGTCTGCCTATTCCTCCATCTTACCAGAAGTCCTCAGAGTCTCTTCTGACATCCATTTTAAATTTTTAAATCAGTTTTTAGATACTTCGTTTGCCTTAAAGAATAATTATCTAAGAGACTCTTTTAAAGTATCAGTGACATGAAAGCAGTCATCAATAAATAAATGAAAAATAATAAGTACATAAATAAGATGAAAAAAATAAATTCCTGGAAAATCCATTGTCACCTGAATTATAATAGGGAATCAAAATTATGATATATTTATTTCACAGGACATGAAGAGTACATAAACTGTAGGAACAAGGAAAATGTTAAATGCCTATTGTAAAAAACAGAAGGTAAGACTTTGTTTGCACCCTTATTATAACTATTCAACGAGGAAAAAGGCTTGCTGACTACTTGCTAAACACTTGGCTTATGGATAATTAAACAAAACAAAACAAAACGATAATGCTGTTCAAGTTAGGATAGTACCAATATTCTTATTTTCTAAATTTTCTGTAATTTCCCCACTTAGCCCAACAGAATAGCAGATAAACAAGCAAATATATCACCCATATGTCTTTTTCAAATTGGAGCTTCTACTCAATATGCTGAAACAATCTAGAAGTCTGAAACAAGTAGTTTTAAACCTTAGGAATTTGAGCAACAACAAAAAAGGTGAGTAATTCCATATTAAGCATCCCAATCACTAAGATATCACCTATAATGAATACAAAAATATGATTTTAAAAATTACAGTTAGTTCCAGACTTAAAACATATTACAACAAAGTAATTACTACTGGTTTTTTTTTTTTTTTTTTTTTACATCTCAACATTAGTAACATGTACTATACACATGCAGCATGTAATTTTTGATGTTATCATTCTCAGATGTTCATAGATTAGATTTATAAAGATACTGATAATAAAAAACAGTAATATTGAAAACTTAGAAAAACAAACCAAAAAAGAGAAATATTTGACTTACAACAGAATTGACTTACAATGGAGTTGTTGGAATGGGACCCCATCATAAACTAGGGACTACCTGCACATTATTTCAAAAAATAAGTTTGAATAACAAATACAGTACAACTAAGAAGTATATAATGTAGAAAGTCCTCTGTAATGTTAGTAAAGATGAGCACATTTTAACTGAATCATTTTAATTACATATTCAACAGGTACCCAAAGAGCACTTACTCATTCATTCATCAAATACATACAGAGCCCATACTGTACCAGGTGCTAGAGTCATAGCAGTGAAGAAAAACAGATCAACACCCTGCCCCCATATTAGCTGCATTTCAATGGATCAACATTACTAATCCAATCATCCTCAAGAATGCTTTTCTTCTTGAGTGTGTATTGCTAAGCAGCAGCTGCACACACATTTGCACCTTGGGGCTATGGCCTACCTTTCAAGCCATGTTTCAAGCAGTGCTCCATCACCACAAAGAACTGCTGGAGAGGTGCGTAGTCAGAGTCCAGAGTCCTCCCCAGGTTGAGAGCTGATTCGATCAAACCCTTGATACTCAGCTTGGCCATGTTCATCAGGTTCATGCGTTCGTTAGCCATGAGATAGTTAGGATCTGCAGTCAAAATGGGAGAGGGTAAAGCCTACTTAGTGGAAAAAGCACATTTTGAAATTCAATATAATTTCACTTTGTTGACATTTGCACTGATGGTGTGAAAGCAATAGTAGGTAAGATTGCTGTTTTTTTTGTTCCTATGTATACACACCAAGAAATCGAAACCAGGTACACAAACAGATACTTGTACACTAAGGTTCATTGCAGCACTATTCACAATAGCCAAAAGGTGGAAACACACTAACTTCTACCAGTGGATAAGTGGATAAACAAAGTGTATTACAAAATAGACTATTACTCAGCCACAAAGAGAAATGAAGTCTTAATACGTGCCTTGACATGGATGAATCTTGAAAATATGTGAAGTAAAATAAATCAGTAACAAAAGGACAAATAGTGTATGATCGATCCTACTTATATAAAATATCTACAGTAGCCAAAGGTATAGAGACCAAGTTTATTAGTGGTTACAAGGGAAGGGAGCTCTGGTGGTATAGTGCCTAAGGCATTTAACTGCTAACCAGAAGGTTCACAGTTCAAATCCACCAGCTGCTCCCTAGAAGGAAGATGGAGTTACTGCCTTGGAAGCCCAATAGTGGTCACTATGAGTTGGAATCAACTTGATGGCACTGACTCTGTGTTCTTGGCTTACCAGGGGTCGAAGAGTAAATTTCTGTTAAGGGTGATAGAAAAACTTGGAAATAGATAGTGGTGATGGTTGCACAACATGACAAAAGTGATCAATGCTACTGAATTACACATGCAAAAAATGCGGAAATGGCAAGGGCTTTGTTATGTGTATTTTTACCAAATGCACACACACAAACTGCTGGTACTTTGGCAAGAACCATGGCAGTGCCACCATATTATACTAGAGTTGTTGTATTCTTCTCCCTTGTATACACAAAGTTAAAAAAAAAAAGATAGCAGTTTCCCTTAAGAATGTCCTTTATGAAACAGTAAAGATGATTTTATCAAATCACAATCCTCAAGTACTTGTCTTTTAATATCCTCACCAATGCCTCTGCCACTACCGTAAACTGGGCCTCCGTCAGAGTTCACCGCACTTCACACTGGTCTTTCTGCTTCCACTCTTGCCCTGTCCCCGTCATTCTTTACAGTTCCTGCCTGAAGTGTTCTGTTTTTTTTTTTTTTAAAGCCAACATTGAAAAAACAGATAAAGAATTTAAACAAACTTTTTATACTAAGTTAAATCATCGTATACAGTACTAGAACTTAAAACTTTCAAATTTAAAGACTCATGGAGTTTGTGGTTCTCATCAACAGGACAGATAAGCCTTTTGAGGAAAGAGACTAAGCATACCTTTTTATCTGACAGAACACACATGGCATGTTGTTGTTGTTGTTGTTATGTGCTGTCGAGTCAAACCCGACTCATAGAGACCCCTCCTTGGGTTTCCGAGGCAGTATCACTATGGAAGTACGATTGCCCAACCTTCCTTCTGAGGAGTGGCTGGTGGGTTTGAACCGCCAGCCGTCTGGTTAGCAGGCAAGTGTTTTAGCCACTATGCTACCAGAGCTCCCCCACACATGGCATAGGCACTCACTACCTTCATTTATTAGTGCTTATCCTCTGGGCTGCTCCTTACAATTATGATGTGAGTTAATCCTTACAACATGGCATGAGATGGTTACCAATTATACCTACTTTACAAGGAATGAAGCTTAGAGAATAAAGTAGTTTGTCCACAGACATAGCCAATGGCATATGGCAGAGCCAGAGTCTAGATCTTATTTGTTTAACTCTAAACCCTATGCTCTTGACCACTACAATACGTCAAATTTGTAATTTGACAATTTACAAATGAATCTATGACTCCAAATAATGTTTATTTTTTCCTCCTGCCGTCTATTCTTTCACATGATTTTCTTATTTAATTCTTGTGACTTTATCATTTAAGTATTACCCTTTCTTTTCAGGTGAACCCTTAAAAGTTAAGTAGTTCAAGGCTAAAAAGCTCATAAGTGGGAGAATCTGGATCCAAGTCTGACACAAGAGCTAATGAGCTTTCCACTATGCTGGGTGCCTCCTCTTAAACATCAGATATATAAAATATCTATTAAAAAATTAAAAAGGCCTGGAGATCTGTGAAACATTTTATGTCTTCTTAAAAACAAAACAAAACAGAAAACCCCAACAAGCCAGTTATTATCAAGTCATTCTGACTCATGGAAATATGACATGTGCCAGAGCAGAACTGTATTCTATAGGGTTTGCAATGGCTGATTTTTAAAAAGTTGATTGCCAGGTCTGTCTTCGAAGTAACCTCTGGGTAACCTTTCAGCTAGCAACTAAGCATGTTAACTGTGCCACTCAGGGAAGTATTAATAAAACTCTATTTCCATAATATAAATAAGCCACTTAACAAATAATACAGCTTATTTTATGTAAATTGTCTCAAGTAATTTTTCTTCACTTTTTTTTATAGTTATATCTACTTTCACAGTTTAATGAACAGAATCAAATGGTTAAATTGTAAACTAATCCCCATTAAGCTTAAGGACTCCTAAAATATAGCCATGAAGAATAACTTCATCTGATATTAACTGTCAACAGTATTACCAACTTTTATATACACTTCAGTGTTTCTTACTGCCCACAGTCCTTGACAGAAGAGAGTAAGACAGGGGCGTGTGGGTACATATGAATGTTTGTGGAGAGCTACTAGACTCCCCAGTTAATACCTTCCAAAAGTGGTTAAGGATTTGGTTGCTAACAAAAAGGTCCATGGTTTGAACCCACCAACTGCTCCACAGAAGAAAGATGGGGCAGTGTGTTTCCATACAGACTTAAAGCCTTGGAAACCCAACTGGGGTCACTATCAGTTGGAACTGATTCAAGGGCAGTGAATAGATGGCCAAGAGGCTTTAATGGGAGTTGGATGAATAGCTACCCATGTATACTGTTTTCTCTGTCTCAGGCTGGACACCATTAATTCAAGAAGTTAATAATAAACAATGCTAGCAGTCAATGTTTATAACCTGGTTCCAATTCAATAAGAACTAATCATGCAAGAAGAGTAGACCTGGAGTACATAAAAAAAATCTTGCTCTGATACATTTTTCCAAATGTGATGATGAATTTATAGCAACCCTTTTTCACAGTCTCAACTTATGTGCAAGATGTCTAACTGGGGTTTGTGGTGCACTGACTATAATAAAAATAACTAGTGCCTATGGTGGCATAGTGCCTAAGGCATTTGACTGCTAACCAGAAGGCTGGCAGTTCAAACCCACCAGCTACTCCTTGGAAGGAAGGTTAGACAATCTACTTTCGTAGTGATACTGCCTTGGAAACCCAAGGAGCGGTTGCTATGGGTCAGATCTGACACCATGGCAGTGAGTTTGGTTTTTTGGTTTTATAGGAATTAAATTCCTGATAGCTTATACTTGATTCAAGTATGGTGCTATAACCTATTTGAACTAACATATATCATATACAAACAATCCATCCATTCTCTAGAAAATATTACTGTCAATCTTGGCTCTATTGACATTTTGGGCCAGATAATTCTTTGTTGTGGGAGACAGTCTTTTCCATGGGATCTCAGGATCTTTAACAGCAACCCTATTCTCTACCCACTAGATGTCAGTAGCACTTTACAGTTATGAAACTAAAGTCACCAATTTGTGTGTGTGTGTGTGTGCACACGCGCGTGTGCGCAGGCAACTCCTTGACTTAAAGAGAAGATGGACAGTCTGGGGAGATGAAGGTAGCTAGAGTTTTCAGAGATGAGTACAGGAAAGAAGACAGCTGTGCAGAGAGAAAACTCCAAAGATCTGCAGAGGCTCTCTCTCCAGTATTCAGCAGAGTATACTGATCAGTGCGTGTGTGAGGAAATCACTCCAGGCCAGGGGATGAACCACCTGAAAGGATTAGAGGAAACTATACACAGAGCTTCCACAGGGCTAGGAGTAGCTCTTGGTCCCACCAGCCACAGGGAAAGCCCTCCTAAATAATGGATATTAGGTAGTGTACTCAGAAAGAACTTGCCTCAATAGTAAGGAATAACTACGCCTTCTTGATATGGAGGCGTGTTACATTAGTGTTGAGTGTGTGAAAATTCACAGGGCTGAATGCTTTCAATATGTGACCTCATCTGTGTATTTAATATTTTTAACTTTATAAAAGGAAAATAAAAGAATCTGCTATATTTTGTAGGCTAGAAAATAATTTGTGAAAAAGGCTTGATATTCACAATATTGTTAGTCATACTTTTTTTGAGAAAAATAACTAAAATTAAAAATTTTTCACAAGGCCAACATTTTACAACATTATCTCAGAACTGTATTTTCACTTTTTTTTCCCAGTAAATATTAAATACTAACAATATGTTAGGTACTGGATTTAATGCTGAGAATACAAAGATAAATGATCTAGTCTCTGCTATGAAAGTACTTACTATTTATTGGAAGAGATAAAGAAATAAATGGTAATACATTGTGCTCCTCAAATTTGAATAATACAAATACAGATTTTTAGAGAATAATGAAATACTTGCAGTGCCACTTGAAATTTCAAGATGAACATCACCTCTGTCAAAGGTCAATTTTATTCCAGAGTAAGTTAAAATACTGCTATATTTAACAATATACATCTATACTATGGGACAGAATATAAAATTTCCTTTTTTTTTTTTTTTTTAAAGTCTAAGATGTTGTTGCTGTTAGGAGCCATCGAGTTGTATCGGCCTCATTGCAACTTTATGTACAACAGAACGAAACACTGCCTGGTCCTGTGCCAGCCTCACAATCCCTGCTTAATACTTGAGCCCATCATTGCAGCCACTGTGTCAATCCATCTCATTGAGGGCCTTCCCCTTTTCCATTGATCCTCTACTTTACTAAGTATGATATCCTTCTCCAGACAATGGTCCCTTCTGACAACATGACCAAAGTAGATGAGACGAAGTCTGGCCATTTTTGCTTCCAAGGAGCATTCAGTCTGCACTTCCTCCAGGACAGATTTGTTAGTTCTT